CCACACATAGAAACCACTTGGTCCCATTTATTCACCATTTTACTGATTATTACTTACTTTTCATAAAAGTGAACACATCAATGTGAGAGTGTGAAAAAAGTTTCATTGCCAGTGAAATAGCAACAATATTGACACGGATCACATTTATGCCATATTTTATAAACTAAATTGAAATCAATCTTTAACCTTAAATTTGTTTATCTACTGTTTTGTCTTTTTAGTTTTAGCAGCTCCTGCTTGCATAAAGAATCCTTCTCTCCAAATCTATTCATTCAAAAGTCAATTTGATTCATTTTATCAAGCAATAAATCAATAAATTTAGAATAAAATGAAAACACATGTATATAAATATTGACTTCTAAACTTTTCATCTTATTTGGATTATTTATTGAGATGTTCCTTTGTAGGCGGAGCCTCTGAGCTGTGATGTTCAGAGTTCTTTTATCCCGAGCTCCTTGTTCTTAATAAAAGTTGAGATTCCTCCAAATGGGCCAGGCGGCGGAGTTATTCATGAAATATTCAGACGTTTTCTCTGACAGCTTATCTAACAGCACCAAAGTTAAAAGCTGAAATTATGACAGCGGCGTGTCACAAAGCTCAGAATAATTTTGTCTCTCCAAAGGTCGAGAAAAAGGAGCGAAATATTTATAAAACAGATCTGCAGCATCTGTGTGGGTTGATCAGGTTGCTGTTTAATAACAGTGACTCAACACTTTCTTGCTGCTGAGGTTTGTAGCTCGCGGGCCTTCGTGTAGGAGGAGTGAGCGCCGTCAGGAGCTTGGATTCATGCGTCGGTGAACAAAGAGCATAGTAACAATCATGTAATTTACCAGCGACTGAGAAGTTATGGAAGGGATCATTAGGCTGTCAGTCAGTCTGAGTACGAGCAGGCGGAGGAGTAATTACAGCCTTCAGTCACAACAGCTTTATCTGTTTTTACATCCTTGGATTTAAACGTGAACAATGTCTGAACCAGCTGTGACATCCTCAGATCTGATCCGGTCAGGTGACGGGCGCTAGCTCAGAGCTCTGAGATGACAGCATGTGGATGCGACATGACGGGATTGATAAGACGTTACCTAAGGAGCGTATCCTCGATATTCACACTCCTCCTCCTTTCTGAAACTCTGAATTATCAAATTTACTAAAAGGACCCGAGATCAGTGACCGAGCCCATGAACTAACCAGGAAAGTGTTACAGCGGAGGGCCGATCTCCCCGTAGACTTCTACAGGACCAGAAGTCATGCTGTAAGCAAAGGTATCGCCACCTGGTGGCCATTGCAGAATGCAAAATGAGAATGCAGCGCAGCGTCCACATCGCTCCTCTGCTTTTAGAAGGCAACAAAGAAAAGAAACTGTCCCAGCTGGGTCAACGTTTAGACACACTCATAGAGCTGCAGTTACGTCCAGTAACCACTGTTTCTGTTTCACATGTGCGGCTCCCACTAACAGGAGGTCACGGCTACATTGGGTAACGTGTGGTGGAGGTCCAGCCTGTGCCACATGCAGACGTCCTCCACCATCTTTGTCCTTAAACAGAAAAACAGGAGCCTGGAAACCAACGAGGGAAGACTCCAACACAAGCTCCACACGGTGGATGCAGACAGGTGCCAGCATGAGCTCGTGCTGTCTGCCGCACACGCTTTCTGACACGAGCAGTTCACCGTCAATCAAAAGAGACAGAGTTTAGATTCAGACACGTCTTTAAATGTTGTTTACACTGAAAAAATAAAGCTGCATGTATTAAATGTGATCCTTCCACAAACAATACTTCCTGTTTCTAAGAGAACATAAGATAGAACAGGCTTCATTAACACTGGAAACACTGCAGATTCCCTGAGTGCTGATATTTCAGACATTTTTACATCTAAAGTTGTGCTGACCATAAAACTAAGTTTGTTGTGTAAAGAGAGAGAAGCTGAAGCAGCATCATTTATCTGACTTCTTCAAACTTGTGCTGCGTTTGCTCTCGGTTCAGTGCTACCCCTGTGCGCCTCACTGTGATCAGCAGTAATCTTATCGGATCAATCAGACAGGCTCATCGATCCGAGCGATGCCTGGAGGACGAGCTGCTTCCTAAAGAGCAGGGGCTCTGTCGCAGCGCCTACACGCTCGCCGTTGTAACGACTGCCAGGACTGCATCGATCGCTTGTCCCCCTCCCCGAGGACCCAGCGCTGCAGCGCTGCTTCGCTGACTGAAGCAGAGTGTGTAATTACAGCGCTGCACGAAGCTGCACGTGCTCCCTGATGCAGTGCGACCGTTTAGCAGCATCAGTGTCATTCGATGCAGGTCACAGGATACGTCTGCAAAACACCTCCGATCCTCCCAAGTCGCTGACGTGCTCAGCATTCAGAGAAGAGGACGAGAGGGTGTTTACCTCTTTCTTCCCCTTCTTCATCACTCAGCGAGGCGAGCACTCTGCTCTTTGTTCTTTTGTTGGTTACCTCAGGAGCTTCAGGTTACAAGAAAACTTCTTTAACTTTAAGATTTAAGTTTCATCCGGTCTCATCCTGGATCTGTGTATTAAAACCCATCAATCATTTAAAATGAAATGTGATGGAGAAAGATGAACTCAGCACTGCTACTCAGGGTCTGTTACTACAGTGACCTCACAGCGGCCATATTATTGGTCACATGACAGAATTAAAAAGGCTCCAACAGCACAAACACGGTCCAGACCTACAGCTACATCCACCTGTCAGTCAAAGAGGCCACACCCCTAATGATGCTAACTTTAAGCCTTAATGTGATTTAAACACAGACATCAAACAGTTTGTGCATCAGGATGTAAACGTCTTGATGCTCAATCATCCAGGTAAGCAAATCTCCAAAAGTTGATTCTGTTCATCTGGACTAAACATGTTTGCTTCTCTGGGGACCGACTCACTGCTGCCTCTGCTGGATGTTAGAGGAACTGCATGTTCTCATTTTATTATAAATTTATATTCTTATGACTTTTATGCTAAAACATTTTTTTAGACCATTTTGTAAATGTTTATTCAAGACGGAAATCCAACTGTTTCCAGTTTTCACACAAAACCTTTGATCTTCATAAAAATCTGACGTGCTCTGCAGCAGATAACCTCGGATGGAGCTTTTACTTCAGAACCAGCTCGAGAGAATGACAGGAGCACATATAATCATCAGCTTACTGCAGTTAGAAATAAGAATAGTTTAGAAAATGTGACTCTGTCCAAACAGCAGAGAGCTCTATGCGACCCACATCAGAGGCTTCGAGGATAATAAGCACAGGACAGTTTTTTTATCTGCTGCGAATACTTCAAATTTTTATTTTAACAACCTGAATTTTCCTGAACATGGAGACACGGGGGTGTCCTACATAATTAAAGAGCTTCTGCTCAGGACGCCGGTTTGAATTATTTGTTAGACCCGCGAGCTTCAGCGGCTGCTGTTTGGGACCGAGTCTGTCAGACGTATGAACAAACTTTCCTATGAAAATTTTAAGCTTCACAGTGAAACATCAAAAACTATGTTTCCATAAAAAACAGGGAAAAAAACTTCCCATAAAAATAAGGATATTTCATCATCATAATGATAAAAAGATTAGAGAAATGAGGAAAAAGAAATCTCACACAAAACAGAGAGAAGCAAATTGTTTCATGTCCATCTTCCACATACAGTCTGTAGTTCTCTAGATTTCTGTGACTAAATCAAACAAAATCAATGAATTTTAATGATTTATTAATCATTAATGTTGCTGATTACAGCGGTACGCTGAGATTTTACTGTTGTGTCAAAGATTAGGGACTCAGATTTCCCCTTTTGATCTCATTGGCTGGAGGAGGGTCACAGGGTCTTTAATGAAGGGTCCTTACAGGAACCGGAGTTTAACATTAATTAACCTGCTGCTGCCTTCGTCCTGTCAGCGAGCGGCAGGATTAGCGCTGCGAGCTGTGGCGGGCACTCCGGAGGGAGCGGCAGCAGGAAGACACGACCATCGCAGCCATTAGTCTGTTGTTTTTAGCTCTGCGGCGGCGGCGTAATGACTCGGGGCTCTGCAGATGTTTGTTTCATGCTGCTGGGCCAGTCATGATGCGCTGACATGATAGAAGCCTTTAATGAAATCCTGGGTAATGGCTGCGTCCCTGCATTCACAGACTCTGAGCTTGTTGGGCTGTAGCTGCGAGGCTGTGGCGCTAATCAGCTACAGGACCCTCTGACAACATGAGTCTGAGACACGAGGCTGTAACAGGATGAAACAGCCTCACAGCCGTTTGACAAACATGGACTCGTATCAGCTGTTTTTACACCACAGACACAAAATGAATCCGTTCAAATTTTATAGCATGAAAAAAAATATGTTTGGAGGCTGGATGGAGATTTCAGAGCTGTGAGTCATCTCACCGTTCACTTAGATTTGTCTTCTTAATGTGATTACATCCTCCAACGCCCCGTGACCCCGGAGGTCCAGTTTGTTTCCAGAAGTCTAGATTTTCATTTTGTTGAATTTTAGTAACTAAAATCTTTTTCCTTTCAGGTTTAGTTTGTTTTTACTCTCTAGAACAGCCTGGATCCAGATTCAGATCATCGTGTTTTACGGTGGGTCAGGGTTTGGTCCCGCCCCAGTCATAAAACCCCTCTAGGTTAGAGTTAGGGTTCAGTTTCTCTCTGCCTGTCTGGAACAAATGTAAAAGCCTCTGTACGAGCTTTTCTTTGAACAGGAACATCTTCCACCTCGTGAGAGTTTGCCTCTTCGGCCCTGATCCAGCATGGTTGACTGGAGAGCTGGTGGCTGACCTGATGGAGGTATGTAGAGGAGCTGCAGAGGCAAAAGCACTCCAACCAGAAGTGGACTCTGAACCTGATTCTTCATATGCTGACTTTGAAAGGAGATGAACTAATCATTTGATTCAGGTCTGTTAACCCAGGGTGAGATCTAAAACCTGCAGGACACCGGCCCTCGACGCCTGGAGTTGCCTACCCCTTCTCTAACGCAACACAAACTCACCTCAAAGCTCCACAAAATCTTTTTTCAGATCCAAGCTTAATACTGGCTTTTACAAGCTCATATTTTTATATAAATGTTATTGTGATTTACCTTTCTGACTCACATCAGCTGCTGAAGCAGGGCTGCTTTGTTACAGCAAAACTCATGTTTATCAAAGAATCTGGAAACTTGTGTATTTATGAACTTTACTCATAATTCAGCCGACAAAACTAAAAGAAATGAATCAATGTGAACCGAACGAGAGCTGCCACAGGACAGAGAAGTGCTGAACAGAGAATATGACAACAATATATCAATAATTTATCTCAATTACATTGCTGGAAGACAAACTTGTTGTTTAAATTAAAATTCTAAACTCAAAGTAACAAAACGTCCAATTTACAGTGAACACCTCATCTGTATCTGACACAGGGCTGAAGATATACCACGGGCCTTGAATGCAGCAGAGCTCTCATCAGGTAAGCACAGCAAGACACCTGGACTGTGTTTAACGTGGCGTCTGTATCGATGCTGCAGGAAGCAGCTTCAACTCTGAAAGGGTCACAACAAACTCAGAAAGGTTTCAATTTTTTGTTCAACATCAGGAACCAGGAAGAGCAAGTTCTAGTTCTGGGAAGCTCTTCCTCTGAGCAGGAGGAGCCAGTATCAAACAGATGGCTCCAAGTTTCTCAGCTCAGTGAACCGACACAGATCTGCTCACCTCACAGGTTAACATGACGTCGACAAACAGATGCTGCGTTGATGTTATTGATGCTTTTGGACCAACAAAACAGCTTTTTACACCTGTACTCTGAGTGATCTGATTGGTCAGTAGGTGATTTTGTTGATGCCTGGTCTTGAACGCGACTGTCTTCAGCGCAGGTTAGGCCTCGACAGCGAGTTGGCACGACGGTCTCCTGAGAGGCGGGACTTTAGGACTTCTCAGCCTCTGTACGCCGCGCTGATGAGCCGACGCTCTGACGGCAGTTTCTGCAGAAACACTGAAACCTTAATAAATAGACTGTACGATGTGATGGCCGACCTGGTGCAGACATGAACTCCACCTGGTTCCTGTGAGCTGCAGGTAAACACGGTGGACAGGTGAGTGTACTCTGCAGGTGCTAGCACTGATCATTATTAGGCAGCTTCAGCATAATTCAGATAAAAATTCACTTACACTTACATGGCATTTGTCATGAACTCAGTTACTTTCCTCTCAGAGTTAAAAGCTGCGTCCTGACATCTGTCAGATCTGATAGTTTAACAGAGTCTCACAGGTGGAGGCAGTTTTTATACTTTTACATACATTTAAAGAGCTCAGGTGGGTCTCAGGAGTTTCACCAGGATCGCTGATTTGAGAGACTTGACCTGAGAAAATGAGGTCAGCTGATCTGAGCTCAGTGAACTGTCTGAATAATAAACCAGGGGCGGAGACCTGTCAATCACAGACAGACCCGCCCACTTCCAAAACACTGAGATGGAGAAAACACTTCACTCGCAGTGTGATGTCACGGCTCTATGCTCAGCTGTTATACTGTCTTATTTCACTAAACAGCATGGTTACCAGCCCATCAGCATATACTGCCCTCTGGTGGCATATCTGTGCTCTGCACACCGTCCTGATACCTGTCACCTCATCAGGTTTTTTTGTTTTGACTTTTTTAGCCTCACTGAGTCAAAATAAAACTTAGTTTTCAGAGTCAGGGTCCACGTGTGTCTTTTTACCTCGTTTATTAACAGCCACATTTAACCCTTTAACCACCCGAGCACACACCACGACCTCTTTACCTGTCAACTTCCTGTCCACAAACAGCCTCATTCGTGAGTTTAAAGACTATTTTCCTTTCATATCCCTTCAGGACTCTTAAGCTGCTTCCATGCTGGCACAGTGTCGGAGGTGAGCCCTGATAACGCTGGTCGGGGAGGGCAGCTTAAGGTAGAGGTAACGAACTGGCAGCTCAGTGAGGTGTTTCAGGAAGCGCCTCGTGGTGCAAAGTAAGCAGACAGTTGTGATAACAGACGGGTATATTTGTGATGGAGACAGAAGAAACAAAGCGCCACGCAGGAAGTGACCCGCGAGGAAAATAAATAGATAAATAACGATGTCCACGTAGCTGCCTTCAAACGCCGCCAAGTCCCGTTAGAGAGAAACCGTGTCAAAGACGGGAGGACGAGGAGGAGCGTGCTCTTCATCCTCTGCAGTTTCCCGTCGCTCGCCCACGTCTTCACACGTCGGCCCGCGGCGTCTCACTTTCAGTTCCTGCTGCAGCTCGCTCTGATCACACCTACAGACTCACAGCTGCAGCTCAGTCACATCCTCTGCTCTGATTGGTCAGCCGCTATCTGACCGACAGCTTCACCAGTTTTCTGTTGTTCACATGAATCCGTAAATCTGCTGACAGCAGCAGGGACGCACCGATCCGATGCTTCACCCACGAAAAACTGGCTTCAGGTGTTCCTCGCCGGGAGGCAGAGAGCGAGCGTCGCCTACAGCAGCTGAAACACTCGCTGCAGGCTTCACGTCTAATTCTACGGTTTGTGCTTTTCGAGCTTTTATTTTTTAAAGACCGGATTCTTCCAATCGCCAGTCGCTCCGATCCGGGATCTGTGGTCAGTGTTTAAAAAGCAGAAGCCCACAAACTGTGACGATCCGGGAAAAATCTCCATCAGCCAGGATTTGTCCCAGAAACTGATCGAGCACGAAGACGGCTCATCGCTGCCGACGCTTTAAATACATTTACTTAAAGTTCTGGAAAGTCCTAAAGTGTCTGAGTGAGCTTCATGATGCCAGAACATAATCTGAATAAAAGCCGAAGGTAAAATCTAAAACACGGCCCGTTGTTACACGACAGGAACTGTTTCAGGTTATGAAACTGGCTGATAAGGCAGGGGTGGGCAACTTTAGCGTGCTCTCTGCTGCGCCAGCTGCTAAGGAGAGTAAACACAGAACACCTGAAACGGCTTCAGCTGCCTGAAACATCAGACCGGTGCATCCCTGCAAAGTGACGTCATCGGTCATACATCCAGCTTTCATTCGATGACTCTGATTGGCTGCTGTGTCTGAGCATTTCTGCCCGGTCATTCCGCTCTATCTTAACGGCGTCCATTCCCGAAGCGCCCAATCAGGCGTTAGCCACAAAGCACATGTCCTTCTTCATGTGAATCTGCAGGCCGCTGGCGCTGGTGAAGGTCTTGGCGCACTGCGCGCAGCGGTATGGTTTCTCTCCCGAGTGCGTGCGCTTGTGCTTCTTCATGGTGTCGCCGTCGCTGAAGGTGCGGCAGCAGAACGGGCAGCTGTACGGCCGCTCGCCCGTGTGGATGCGCAGGTGACGCCGCAGGTTTCCTCTCTGGCTGAAGCTCTTGGAGCAGAAGGTGCAGCGGTGCGGCCGCTCCCCTGTGTGCGTGCGCAGGTGACGCCGCAGGTCCGCCGACTGCGCAAACGACTTGCAGCACCAGTCGCAGGCGTAGGTCTTCCTCTTCTGCTCCAGGTGGAGGCGGAGGCTGGCGGCCTGTCCGAAGGCCTCACCGCAACGCGGGCAGCGATGGACAAGTTCGGGGATGAAAGCGGAGGCTGTGCTGTCTCCGGCTGCCGGCTTCTCCTGGGAGGACTTCCTGCTCCGCTCAGCTTCCTGCCTCTCAGCGCGCACCACCACCACCGTCCTCTCTGCCTCCGCCCTGCTCCAGAACTCTTCGGCGGCACCGTTTGCGGCCTCGGTCAGAGAGTCCGTGCGACCTTTGGGCTTGCTCACGCTGTACTCCTCTGGTTCGGCTTTGATGAGCACGGGGGGCGGAGCCCGGGGCTCCTCCCTGAGCACTGCAGGAACTTCAATGTGAATTTTGGGGACGGAGACAGTGGGAGGGTTTAGGGAGGAGTGCGAGGTGACAGGTGAAGTTTTCCCAAACGCTTCCTGTAGACGGTCAGGCTTTGGTGCCACGTCCCGCAGCTCCAAGAGCTTCTTCTCCACAGGCAGGTGCACCGGCCCCGGAGAGGAGTCGCTGTGGACCGCCAGCAGCTGCACAGACACCACCTGCTCATGGGTGGGCTTGTCCACATTCGGCGGCGGCGGTCTGGGTGGGTTCGGGCGAGAGTCCGGCTCTTCGGAGCGAGGCCTCCACTCGGGCTCACCAGGCTGGTCGGGAGCCACCAAACCAAGACTGGACCTGGTGGACTCTGAAACACAGAAAGCAAACAGTTGATGCGACCGAACGACGTCCAGCACGTCAGCAGAAACATTCGACTCACACCTGGAGCTCCAGAGTTTACACTTGTTTTTGGGCCCCAAGAAAAGCTTTGCATGATTTACATTTCAAAATAAGCTCCCTTTGTGTTACACTGTCACTCCTGAATAGTGACAGCCCCTTGTCCTCTAAGCAAGCTGTCTTCAGATTGGCTGCTCTTCATAAACAGGAGGTGGGTGGGGCCATTTTAATTTTTTTTTTTAGCTCACAGGGATACATGTACTTATACTGACCTCAATATTTAAAACAGGACATAAAACAAAGCAGAACAGCTCCATGTTAAGCAGTAGTGCTACCAGGCGTCAGCCAGTTATCCTCATTATTTTACAGGTTGACATATTTTCACAGGTTACCGAACATAAACAACTCCTTTTCGCTTACAGTCTGGTTTCTATGCAAATGTGTGTGTTTTTTTTTTTACAGTTCAATGTGCTGTACCATAAATATGTACGGAATTCCCCTTTAACAGAAACCCGAATGACCGAAAGTCCTTCAAACTTCCTGAAAGTCAGCTCTCCCCAACTGACACCTCACGCAAAGCTCCTCATACCAAAGTCAATGTGACAGTCTGTCAATTTAATGCTCAGCTGTGTTCCCCCCTTTATGTTTAATGGGGTAAATGAGATACGTTGTGTAAATAAACTTTAAATGAAAACACTGCGTGAATAAAAGTGAAATGACTACCTACATCAGGCTCTCATTAGGCTCGAAGGCAAAAAGGAACTGACACGAAAAATGACAGAAAGTCACATCTATCGTAAAAATGTCGGTAAAATCAGACAGTTTGAATGATGCCGAATACACAAATCAGTCCTTAACAACACATAAAACCGTGAAAATCTGCAGTTAAGCCTGAATTTAACGTTAAAACGGCGTATTTCTATTAAACGGGCGGATTTTCATCGCAGTTCTGAATGCGCGTTCTCTCGCGGAGCTAGCCGGCTAGTTCGGCCCTTACTCAGCCACTCGGTCCCGGCCTCCAGGAGCAGGATGTCCCGCAGCTGCCTCCGCAGGCTCTCGTTCTCCCGCTTGGCTCTGGCAGTCTCCTCCCGGTACTCGGCCACCGTGTCCTCCACCACGTCCAGGATCTCCTTCACCACCACCGTCAGCCGCTCCGTCAGGTAAGCGTTCAGCAGCTGCAGCTTGGTCATTTTGATGCTGGGACCTCCAACAGCTGCATCCACACCGGAAACAACAAACCCGACAGGAAACGCTTTTGCTCAGCTCCGGTCTTTCAAAATTAAAGCGTGGTCATCAGTCTCTGTCCGCAGACTCCATCGCTGAAACTGGAGCTCAGCCTTGTTGGACGGCCTGTTGCTATAGTAACCTCATAGCAGAGATGTGACATATCTGATGATGTCATTAAAGATGCTCCAAAAGGCTCCAACAGCACAAACACGGTCCAGAGGTCCAGTTCAGGTGACGCTAGCAGAAAGCTAGCAGCTACAGCCGCCTGTATTAACTTCCACCTGCCGGTCAAAGAGGCCACGCCCCTAGTAATGCAAACTTTAGAGGGTGAGTTATACAAACAGCTGTTATGACGGGGAAATGATCCACAGAGACCAAACAGTTTGTGTATCCGGCTGTAAACATGTTTATTACTGCTGTAAGGATTTAACATGGGAGTCTATGGGACTGGTTCCCCTCTTATTTTGAAAGAACTACCAGGAAAGTGTGTGTCAGACTGAGCACCTGTAACGCGTTTGTAAATGCAGTTTCACACTGTGACCACTGGAGGGCAGGAAACACATGATTCTCAGTATAAGGGTCTTATTCAAAGTAAGAGTCAAAAACCTGGGAAATTATTTAAAGAAAGAAAATACAAATCTCATAAGCTTTTTTTAATCACAATAAAAACACAGAAATATATCAAATGTTTAATATGAGCTCATTTTTCATTTGATGGCAGAAACACGTCTCAACAAAGCTGAGACTGAAGCAATAAAAGGTAAGAAAAGTATCCTTCAACAGACCAGCTGCTGTCCTCGGCTCACAGACATCACAGACTAATGTTAGAGAGGAAACACAGACCTGTGCCGCTGACATCATCATTTTTTGTGTTTTGTGCAGCTTTATTTATATTTGATATATCATCCTAACTTTTTCACAGTCGAGGTTGTACGAGGCGTCGTTGAGTTGAGCAGATTTTGTGGTGCTTGTCTTGACCAATGGAAATCTTCCTCACAGGGTTGATTTCAGGTTTTAATTTGGGGCTAATGTCGCAGATTCTGCTAAATATGGGTCAGAGTCCGGTTGTTGGATCAGGGATTTCAACTTTTGTAAAAGCAGATCTGGTGGCAGAGAGGCACTAACATCAATGAAAAGAAAGGGTTTGAGTTTTCATCTTGAGGCTTTTATTTTGAAGGCTCTGTCAGAAGGTGCTTTTAAGCCTGAGCCAGCTCGATACTGAAGGAAAGATGGAAAGAGGGAGAGGAGGGCAGCTACTACTACGACACACACACTCTCTCTCACACACACACACACTCTTAAAGCACCCCTCCCTTTCCTTTCACCTCTTGCGGTGGAGCAGACGGAGCTGCTGCACAGACTCTCTGCATCACAAATCAAACAGATCTTAGTGAGAGGAGGCTGAGCGAGCCACAGCATCATTTAATAGAAGATCTGACGGGTGTTTCGCCGAGCGCAGCGTACTGTCATCTCTCATTTCAGCTTCTATCGCTCACATCGGGGGATCTGTACCTCCCACTTCTCCTGCAGAGACACGATGAACCTCACCCTGCAGCTTACCGTGCTGGACTAGGACCAGGTGAGCGTCCCGGGAAAAATCTTTCAGTTTCACAGGTTGGATGTGCAGGACATGTGCGGCTGCCTCCGCCTGGGTGGGTGTGTTGCTGCATCACACCTCCAGCTGGATTCTTCTCTTTTTTTTGTCTGCCTGTGATGAAGATGAAGGTTTTGGTGCATTCATACAAAGTTGTGTGTGTGTGTGTGTGTGTGTGTGTGTGTGTGTGTGTGTGTGTGTGGTGTGTGTGTGTGACAGATAAACGACTTCAGAGAGAAGAGAGAGAGAGAAGAGAGGCATGGAACATGTTCATGATCACTGCGTGTTAAATTTATGTATAAAATATGGCTGCAGTCGTGCTGCCTCGCAGGATTTCATTCAAGCTTTTTGGGTATTTTCTAGAAAACAGACACCGCCTCGTGTCCTTGCTGCCTCGTGTCCTTGCTGCCTCGTGTCCTCGCTGCCTCGCCGCCGTGCCGTCCTTGCCTGAGGTGGATCATAGGGCTGGGTATCGTGACTGATTTCTAGAATCGATTTGATTCCGATTCACAAGGTCCCGAATCGATTCGATTCAATTCGATTTGAATCTGGGAAATTTTGCCAGTCAGAAATATTATAATTCAGATCAGCACATTTACATATTTTTCTATCTATAAAAAGGAAGCTGACACACGCGAGACTTGATCACAGGTGTGAGCGTCACAGCAGAGGCCTTTGTGTCAAAGCAGCTGAAGATAAAACAGAAAAACATGAAGCAGATTTTCCTGTTCTGGATTTTATAAAAATATTCTGCAGTCGATCAAAAACGAAAGAAAACCATTAATCAGCACATGAACATCACCTCTGAAGTTACAGCGGTTTCATTACAGACACAGCGTTTTGCATTTTGCATCATTTTAAAAAGTTTAAATTTGTTCAGTATTGAACGGCAGAAATTAGGTTTTTCTTTTAGGAAGTAAGTGAAAGGAAACAAACAGCGTCCGACAGCCTGCAAACAACGTAGAGAATGTGCACGAAGTGTGATTTTGTCCTGGTGGAAGCAAAACAGCAAAAGTCAGAGTGAATCCATGACGATGTTTATGTGAAGCGTAGTTTGGATCAATGTTGTTTGGAGAGAGATCAAACCTTCAGCTTCAGAATCAGCGCAAAAAGGGCGTGAACACAAAGCTCGACCCGCCGACACATCAGAGTCAGCGAGCTGTCGGCTTTCAGCCCCGACCGTGTCCGTGCCGTCGGTGAGAAAGTCACAGCTCACTGATCCTGATGCGTCGGCGGGTCGAGCTTTGTGTTCACGTCTCTGTGCAGAAGCCTGTTCCTGCTCTCAGTTACTGTTTTAATCTTTGGTGGTTGTTGAAACTGAGATTCTGGCGTTTCGGGCAAAATAAATTAATATTAAAAAATCGATTCAGGATTTGAATGAATCGATATCACGTTATCCAAGCCAGAATCGATTTTAATCGATAAATCGATCATCAAAACCCGCCCCCAGTGGATCAGTTTATCCTGCTTTGCTCGAGCTGGAGGTTAAACTCTGAAAATATTTCATTTCCAAAAAACTGAAAGAAACAAGAGCAGATTGTTTACAGTCTGAATTCGGCCAAAGAATTTCAAATTAAACTGCCTAAAAAATGTGAATATTATTTTGAAAGTCTGCCTTTAAAGACTTTGAATGTTTCCGTTTGACTGAGTGAGCTGGTTTTAGTCACGGGGACAGCTTTAACTGAGAGCAGTCACAGTGAGGAGGTGTGACCCGCCCGAAGAGCGAGGAGGTGACAGCAACATGGCCGCTCTGTGACCAGGCCGAGAAACAGGAAGTTGAATTTTGAGTTTAGAAAATAAAACAAAGATTCATCCTTTCAAAACTGCTTCAAATCTCTTGTGGGGCCGCTGAGTTTGGATCAGTTTGTAGAACCTGAATTTAGCTGAATATGGAGGCTGGATGTGATGTCACTATGATGTCATCTGACCCTCACGCCGGTGCCTTGCCAGCCTTGCCGTGAGGGTCCTCAGCCGGAAAATGGTGGAGTGCCTACTCCGGTCAGGGATGAGTTACTGCCCCAGGTGGAGATGTTCAGCTAAATCGGGGTCTTGTCCACGAGTGAGGGGAGCATGAGACTGACAGATGGATTGGTTCAGCACCTGCAGTGATGCGACCGCTGTACCAATCTGCGGGGGTGAAGAGTAAATACTCTAGGAACAACAAGTAGGCCTGCAGAGCGAGAGCGAAGTGCTCTAATAGGGTGATATGGTACTACAAGGTCATTAAGAGAAGATGGGGAAATCAGCTCTTGTTCTAGTCCCTGTCAGGACTCTTGCTGCAGTATTTTGGATCAGGGTTCGCCCATGAACATGGTTTAGGCTGGTTTTGGATCATCTCGGAGGACTTGGAAGTCGGTGGCATGGAAGTTGGGATTGGGGCTTTGGGTTTTACACTGGTCTTGGACTCATTTGGCTTTGGAGCATCTCAGTGAACTTTCCACAGCTCTTGTGTGGATTACTCCTGAAACTCCCTGCACAATCCCAGACTGATCCATCTGTTTGAGGGCTCTGCGTTCTTCTTGTAGTTGAAGTTGAGTCTTTCTCATGGTGCCTGCGTTGGAGAAGTGAACATCTATAACCTTTGTACAGGACTACAGACAGCTTTAACCGAAATAAAGAAGA